TTGGATGGAGCGGGCAACAAAGGTGAGAGAGCAAATGGGACAACAAGAATAAAGGGCACGGCATAAGCGATACATAACAATGCAAGCTGTCGCCGTTTGATCAACTGGTTGTCCTGGTCCACCACCATGTCCGCGACAGTGCTCGCAATGTGGAAACGCCCCCACGGGCGCTCGCTGGATCTGCACAAGTTCTCCCCTTCCCGAGCTCTCCATGTCGACGCCCGGGGCTCGATGAGGCATCCCGAGAGTAGCCCACTCCTAAAACTGTAGAAAAGCTCACTATGTGCGAGCTGCGCCAAGGGGCAGCATCATAGTTACAAACCCGTCCAGATCCTGAATCGGAAGACAATCCCGCCTCAAAGGCTCTCCGAGCACAGGGGGAGCGGTCCTCATCACAGCCCGCCCAGAAGAACCCAGCTGACTCAGGCACAGAAAGAGGCTCAATAGGCATCGCCACAGGGATGGGAACACACAAGGGGGGGCGGGGCAACAAGGCATCCAACTTTGCACATGGCGGCCAGGACCCTGGTCCTGAAGGGAGGTCCGAAGGCCTTAACGGCAGGGAACTTCGCCGCGGTGCCACCGTGGCCGCGCCTCCTGTTCCCCCTGGCTTTTTCCCGTCCCAAGTCACGACAAACGAGCAATCCCTCATTGGATGGACGAAGAGGAGCGTTGAACCAAGTCAAATGGCATGAGGTGGAACGATGAATGTGCTTCAGCAGCCTATCTTCATCCCAAAATTGCCAGCAACAAACTGGGCACTGCGTTCTTGTGACATTATCCAGGGCCGGCGCAAGATGGATAGCGTTTGATTCTGCGAATATGCAGGAGATGTTCGCTCTTGGCGAGGCGCCCGCACTCGCAGCAAACAACCCCAGGGTTAGGCGGAGGGGGCGGAGCCTCAACGATATGATCACTTGAGACTGACGGCTCGCCCAACCTCCATTGAGTTATGAACTTGGCTTTATTGATGCCACTTTCACCACATTGGAGGTTAAAGTCGACTCTCCACGGAGTTTTGGCCGCTTTGGCCGCATGCATGACAAGAAAGGAACTCACGCCTACTACTTCTTGCCAATTTAATCAAGGACCCTTCTTCATATGCATAAGTATCGGCGCTGCCCTTTTGCATTGCCCCCGCCCACACTGAATCTGCGCGAAGCTGCTTGCGCCATGAAAAATCCCACGAGTAGTCCAACAGCGAACGGAGCAAGGGTGGCGCTCCCCCGAGGATGCGCGGTAGCAATCTCAACCCACCAATCGAAAGAAAAGTTTGAAGTGGTAGGCGTTCGGCTTGGGCAAGAACTGACGCCTTAGATGCATGTGCTTCCCCGCTGTTAGCATGCCGATGCACGCCGCCTCAACTTGCGCCATGCTCCTATGGGGAAGCGGATCCCGCGTGCCAGCTGAAAACGAAAGCCTGGCCCCTGCGTAAGCCTCCGCATATCTAATGTTGCACGCAGTTTTGAAATGAGAGCCGGGGCCCACCACTTTTTATATAGGTCTAAGGGCAGACCGCGACGATCGAATCCTGTCAGTTATTTCTCTGGCCACGCCCCCAGTGTCCATGATGTGTGCCCCGAGTAACTTGTGAGACCTAACGATATGCAGCTGGAACCCATGCTGTTCGCTCCGTAGACGGCGATCCCCTGGCCGATGATAGAGACGAGAATCTTTGCGCGTACCAACTCCACGGAATGAGAGCAGCGCAGCTGCCTTTGAGAAATGTATCTAGAACCCGTGTAAGCTCGCATGTAAATACATGCTTTCAGCCAACCTTGGGCTATAGTCTGCAGTGCACAGGCAAGTACCCACCGCAGAATTCGAAAGGTCATCCACTAGGGACGTGGAAGCGCGGACCAAGGACCCATCGAAATTTGAGCTGCTGTGTGCTACGGAGGTGGGAGGGGTCCATCTTAGCCCTTATTCGGCCGCTTGGTGTTCATGTTTTCTCTGGACCCGCGCAAACAGAACGTTGAACATGTCGGTCGCAGGGACCGCGCCAGGCCTGCAGCCCCGCCCTGGTCGCGTAATCAAATTATCACCTCTGAGCTTCCAGCTGCTCCCAGTCTGGCTTTCACGGACCAACTCCAAAAGATCATCAGGCAGATCACAGACCTCAAGTGGCGCCTGGAGCTCAAGCTGAATCCTTAGCCCAGCTTCAATAAAGGGGGACACGTCAATCTCGCTGAGGGCTTCCTCCAGCCTCTCCTCTTCAGCCGGCAGGGAAACGCATGACTGTTTCAGGGCAGAGTAAAAGGCCACCGAGAAGGTCGACGAAAATCCCCCCAAAGGACAATCCCATAGTGGCCGTGACAGACCAAACCTGCCTGGCCATCAGGATGGCCCCCATCAAGTCCTCTTCCTGGAAGCCCTCCACATTGACATAGGCGAGGGGGAGCATGCGCATACTTGATGGTGAGAGACCTAAGCGATTTACGGTGAAGCTGGGCAATAGTGCTTCCCAATAACACGTCCCCCTGATTCGTCATTTTGTTCGGGGCCCCCTTCCCCTTGCGAAAGTAAACAATATATCCGGATTTGAACCCCAGCGGCTCTCTCTGCTACAATGATGACTTGACTAACAAGGGATAGACACGACGAGACATGGCAAGTGGAGCAACCTTCGCAAAGTGACCTATGACACCGCCCAATCCAGCTGCCCTGTTGGCTGGCGTCCTCCGCATTTCCGCCTGAACCGAAAGCAGGGAGGGGATGGCATCAAGGGTCGGAGGGGGTTTGGAGCTGGCTGTCCTACTCATGTCGTTGTATTATTATACCAAAATCTCCTGCTTAAGGCAGGTGGCGAGTTCAACCGTAGCAAAGTGTTGTTGAGCTATCCTGGCAATTCCCTCATGGCTGGCGGCTGGAATCCCATTTTCATCACCCATAACAGGAGCAACGAGAGCTTTTTGGCAGGTTTCCCTCCAAATATGAGGACACGATCCAGAGCCGCCCACTCTTTAGCTGGGAGGTGACCATCTATACCTACTGAGCCATCACGGATTTACTCCTCCAGGAACTGGGCCCTGTCATTACGCATGCCTTCAGCAACGACACCCCTCGAGACCAGCGCAAAGTGGTTAAGAGCAAGCGCGAAGATGTCCCGAAGGCGACGCTTTCTCAGAGAGGCCTCAACATGTCCGGCTCGCTCGAGTCTGACAGACTGCCAGAGGGGGAAGCTGCCCAGGACAAGCATGGAGAGGTCACCGGCGCGGAGCCTGCCTGCCACATGCCTGAGCACCCTGCCTCTGCATGCCTCAGCACCTAGCGATTGGTTGGTCAAGGCCTTGTGATTTGCCCTTCTAGTGCCACTGAGTGCCAGCGAGCTCTCAGAAATGCCTCAGGCCCTGGCCTTGCGCTTACGCCTTGGGAAGGCCTCGGCAGCAGCATCGTGAACGTTTGTTCGCAGCGCGCGCGAGATGCGCATTCACATCCAACTCCCAATTCTCAACCTCCAAATCCTCCGGCTCCTTCCTGAAGGAGGCAACGCAGGCGGGGCCCTTTGTCTCATCGCTGTCAATAGGAGGCCATGGGCCCTTAGTCTTGGTAGCGGATTTCTTCCAAACGACGGCCGCTTCAACGGGTATATGGCCTGGTTGCGGGGAGCGCAAATGAATGTCATGCCTGCTGCGAACGCTCGCAACAGCGGGAATGAATACAGGGGCACAAAGAATGCAGTCTATGCTGTGGTTTGCGCCCTAGTTGGCCATGAAGGTAAACCCTGCAGAATTGTCAACCAAGGCGTTGACAGCGCTAAGATGAATCTCGGCGAGAAATATGAAAAAGAAACCCCACCTTGTCCTGCTCCTGCATAAACCCAAGACTCCCCGCCCATACTGATTCTTCCGATCCTGTCCTAGAATTAGCATCACACAGTGCCATCTCCTCTCTCCAGTGGTTGCAGAGCCCGGCGGCGTCTTCCCAGAAGGCCTGCGTGCTTTCGGTCTCATGGGCAACATGAGGGGCATGAATAACCGCCACCCTCGCTGCGAAGGCTTGCGAACGGACTGCTACAATCAGCCTTCTCGGGTCGCAATGAAGGGAGACAACGTCCTCGCGCTGAAAAAGTGACCTCCTTATCCTTGTGGGTCGCAAGCGGCTCCTCCATGTCGAGCCACAGCTCGCATCCTAGACCCCCGCTAGCAGCCCCAGAGGAGACAGCGAGGAAAGGCCCCGACATCCTGATGCCCTCGGGGTTCCTACTGTCTTGAAACCCGACGATGCGGAGCCCAATCTTCTCAAACTGAGCTCCCAGGATTCGAATCCTCATGAGCCTGCGCTTGCCTCTGAAACCCTTGGACTGCCGATCATACACGGACTTGGCATTGAACTGCGCAACGCAGAGCCCGGCGTCGCGCGCGACTTTTTTCGCAACAGAGTCAGCGGGGCAATCGCTGATAGACGCGAGCCGGGGGCGAACATCAACAACAATCGATCCACTGCCCAAGCAGGGGGGCCCAAGGCTGGGGGCACAATAGGGGGATTTGGCCCGCGCCCATTCCCCACCTGGATGATACTCCGACATTTCCCTAATGGGCTCATCAAAGCGAGTGGGTGGAACGAGATCTCCGGCAACATTCTTTGCAGTGTTACCGGCCAAAATGTTACAATGGTGCAAGCAATGCGCCTTGATGATGCATGGTCAGGGGACCTTTTGCCCTGGCTATCCTGAAGGTGATGGCCGCCAACTTTGCCAACGCACCATGCTCTGCAATGGCCGCCTCGCCAGTTACAAGCTCGGTGGCAGATTTAGAATCTGGGAAAATGTCTACCTGCTGAGCAACGTGCCTTTGCTCGTCACAAAGCATTACAATGCTAGTCCACACTATACCTAGCAGCTCAACATCAGTGCTGTCCAACCTACTGCGCAGGGGGCCCACGAAGCAAGACTCGCTCCATCTCGAGCTCCAAAATCCAGCATAGGCGACGTCGCTGTTAGCGAAAGACAATTCTCACAACAGCCCAAGTCGCAGCGCGATTATCCTCGCCCCCTTTACATTGGCAGTTGGACCCGCCCACGCAATAAGACCACGCCTTGGCTCGTGACTGGAGAGACGGGGGGCACGCGTTCAACGCGATGCGTGCTGGATCCCCCAGGCAAGCGGGTCGCGCTCGAATGGCCCCGGGGGGCGCCCTCTCACGAGCCGCAAGTTCCCACGGGGTGGGACTTGAAGGCAGGGGGGGGCAATGGACAACAGACAGCTCATCATGTGCCACATCCGAGGCAGGCTGCGCTGAATCGACCTTCGGTTCAAAACAGAGGAGCGGGGGGAGGGCAAGGGTGAACAAACACCAAGTGGGGCTGTCTTCGCTTGAAACTCCCCCCGCATGGGCGACCCGAGAACGCCCGCGCTAGAGGAGGGCGTGGCATCCGAATTTACAGGGCGTTGCGAGGTTGACACGAGGCCGTTTGATTCCTGCGCGCCCCCAGACGCCACGGGGGAGGCGCGGTCCCACCCCCCCAGCAAATCCGCCGACGCAGCTCTGTGTAGCTGATCGAGACGCGCCTCAAGCCCCGAGGCACCACTAGAGGAATTAAGACTGCAAAACAACGAATCTGTACTATGTGAGCTGCTCGGGCTGTCCCGCTTGCATGCAGGGCTGCAGGGGTTGGGCAATGAAACTGATTCACTCGCCTCCCCGTTTACGCTGAGCACCTCTCTGATGGAAAATTGACTGAAGCTCTTCTGAAGTGAAATGATTTCCGGCAAAAAACATGCATCCATGGCCCACCTGAGGAGCCCACTTCCGCACTGCTGACTCGATGATGCGCTGCTTGATGGCCTGGACTGAAGCTACCCAAGATACTTCCCACTGAAACTGGGAACGAAGGCATTGAGAACTGCATGTTGCCGTTCTGTGCCCACTTCAAGCATGATTTGAATTTACCGACTCCCTGACTGATGACCGGCACTGGCGGATCGTCATCAGTGAAATACCCCCTCAGCGCGCGCCCGCCCCAGGAGACTGAACGCGCTGTTGCTTCGGCGGCGGGGCCTTGAACGGGGGGCCCTCGAGCGCGGCTGCATGCTGCGGCTGCGGGGCCGATTCTGACTGAACTCCAGGGAGACAGCTCGGACCTGGGATGGGCTCCGCATGTGACATCATTGGCTGCGTCGGCGAGATTGGCCCCGGAATTCGAGGAGGGGGGATCGATGGCGTCGTCGGTGGCAGTAAACCCTCTGAAACTCCGCACTCCTCATCATCTGGCTGGCTGCCGTTGGAGTCGGCATGCCCTCGCAGCTGAAGTGATTGTCCTGCACCTCCTGATTGGGCTGAGAGGCGTTGGCATGCCGCCTGCCGCGCCACAGCCAATGGGTGTCAAAGGCAACGGCTGGCCGTTGGGAACGCTCGATGGCGATGGCATCTGGGGGGCGCTCCCCTCCCCCACTGGAAAAGCCGCGGCCTCTGCGGTGTTCACAGCAGTCCCGCGGACTGGCGCGGCCGCAACTAACGTCGGCGACAACGGGGCATCGACAGGTATCTGGTAGGCATCCTCGGCTGCGGTCGGTGAGGTCGGCACTGGCGCTGCAACTTGTTGTGCTGCTGTCATGGCCGCGAGGGCGTGCACCATCTGTCCGAGGACCATATCGCTCTGATTCTCTGGCCATGCCAATGAGCAAGCCCCTGAGCTCCTGCATCTGGGCCTGCGTGCTGGTCTCCTCGGACGGCGGCTGAAAGAGGACCCGCTGCACCCCCTGTGGAGCAGCAGTCCCTGCTGCTGGTCGCGGGAGCCGTGCTCGACCGCGGGCCCAGGGGGGTGCGTTGGCGGCCTCACAGGTGGCCGCACCTGCGGCGGCTGCGGTGGGACAGGAGGCCCGGGGGGAGGTCTGGCAGCCGTCGGCTGCTGAGCCTGCGCTGCAAATCCCATGTCCTGGTCCTCTTCCGCCATCATCTGTTCCAGCTCCTCCATGCAGGTCCTGAGTTGCGCTATGTCGTTCATGTTCTCTGATTCCAGAGCCTCAAGTTCCTTGATACGGGTTTGGGTGGTGCGGAGCCGATCCTGAGCCTTGTCCATATTGTTTTTGTATTATCCGTGCTGCTGGCGCAGCGGAAGCAGGCCATGAACCATGCACTTGAAAGTGACAATCTTCCTGTCGTGCATCGCCGCGAGCTGCATCTCGTCCGCTCTGCGAGCTGTGAGCGCCAAGAATGCCATGTCGTTGATCTGCTTGCGCGACTACATGCGATACTGGTGGGTGTCCCCTTCTGGAGCTGGCTTGTAGACCTGTTCCGCAGTGGTCTCCTCTTTCGTCATGGGCGGGATCTTGGCAATGTACAATCTTACCTCTCGCTCGCTGAACTGCGGCGCCTGCAGACGTTCCCTCTGGCGGCTCGACGGCCTTCTTGACTGAGATCCATGCTGTGGCCGCTGCCGATGGGGGAGTCCAGAAAGCCGATGCTGCTGCTGCGATGGCTCCGAGAAATGATGCCCGCACCAGCATGTTCGACGGTGTTTGACGTATCGGCCGCATTTGCTGCAGTCCCATACAGGAATCCATTGAGTCATGAGGGACTCGGGCACTAGCAACACGTCCTGATCTCTGGGTGGTCGTTGTGCCGAATGGTGTTGCTGTAGCCTCTGATAGGCCTGATGAACTCTGATCAATGTCCTGGCCCGCGAGCGCTCTGCACGCGCGCGGCGGTGCCAGGCCGCCTCCACAGCCCTCGCCGTGGCCCGAGGAGGCGCAGCTATGGCGCGGCGGCGCGCGCACTGTCGCGGCACGTTGGCACGTGCACGCCGAGGTCAGGCCGAGCAAACAACCCCTGTGCTCAGGCCAAACCTTCTCCTCCTCCTCCTCCTCCTCCTCCTCCTCCTCCTCCTCATCCTCCTCCTCCTTATCCTCCTCCTCCTCCCTCCTCCTCCTCCTCCTCCTCCTCCTCCTCCTCCTCCTCCGCCTCCTCCTCCTCACCCTCACCCTCCCCTCCTCCTCCTCCTCCGCCTCCTCCTCCTCCTCCTCCTCCTCCTCCTCTCCTCCTCCTCCTCCTCTCCTCCTCCTCCTCCTCCTCCTCCTCCTCCTCATCCTCATCCTCATCATCATCATATCATCATCATCATCATCATCATCATCATCATCATCATCATCCATCATCATCATCATCATCATCATCCTCATCTCATCTCATCCTCATCTCCTCCTCCTCCTCCTCCTCCTCCTCTCATCATCATCATCATCATCATCATCATCATCATCATCATCATCATCATCATCATCATCATCATCATCATCATCATCATCATCATCATCATCATCATCATCATCATCATCATCATCATCATCATCATCATCATCATCATCATCATCATCATCATCATCATCATCATCATCATCATCATCATCATCATCATCATCATCATCATCATCATCATCATCATCATCATCATCATCCCCCTCCTCCTCCTCCTCTCCTCCTCCTCCTCCTCCTCTCCTCCTCCTCCTCCTCCTCCTCCTCCTCCTCCTCCTCCTCCTCCTCCTCCTCCTCCTCCTCCTCCTCCTCCTCCTCCTCCTCCCCCTCCTCCTTCTCTTCCTCCTCCATCTCCTCCTCCTCCTCCTCCTCCTCCTCCTCCTCCTCCCTCCTCCTCCTCCTCCTCCTCCTCCTCCTCCTCCTCCTCCTCCTCCCCTCCTCCTCCTCCTCCTCCTCCTCCCCCCCCCCCTCCTCCTCCCCCTCCCACTCACTCCCCCCGCTCCCCCTCGCATGGGGTGCTCTGCACGAGCCAACGGGTGGCGCCAGCGACAGCGGCTCTTGCCAGTACCGTCCTTCGACCCAAAAACGGCCCGACCTCTTGAAAAACAAAAGGTGTGGAGGAGAAGAAGGAGCGGGATGAGGACGAGGAGGAGAGGAGGGGAAGGGAACCAGGCAGGAGCGCCTTCAGGGCTTCCTGCATGTCACCCATGTCCAGACGCATGGTGGAGATCTCCGCTGTCACAGTCGCCTCCACGCGCTGCCTGCCGGTTCACGAGGCAAGACACTGAGAGCCCTACGAACAGACGAGGAACGGAACACAACAACTAAGCAACAGGCGAAGAAGATCGCAAGATGAACGAGCTGAGACAGATGGGTAAGAATAATAGGGAAACGCATACGTATTGCAAAAGTGTGGAGATATGATCCACCACCGTGCCGTAATGGAGTGTCCTCTGGTCCATTAGAGTTCGCCGTTTCCTGGCTCTTCATAATATTACAGAATTCCTGAAGGGGCCCAAACCCCCAACTCACGAATCTCTCTGTGCTTCCCGCGTGAGTTCTGGGGCTTCTCGCACTACTTCGCAAAGACGAATCATCGACAGATCATGAACAGCTTATCGACCAAAATCCCTGAACAGCCTGTCGACCAACAGTGTGAGCTCCTCCGGATCAGGAACGGGTGGCCTGTGGTTTCCCGTATGGGACGGCTTGTGAAGGGTGTCTGGCCTCCATGGCAGTGCTCCAGAGTACTGTCACGCACGAAATCGCCCTGCGGCGGTTGGCAAATCTCACCGTCAGGAGTGGTCATGTTGACCTTTTCGGCTCTTGTTGCGGCTCCTGTATGGTGTTCTTGATGGTATTTCGTATGGACTCCCACATGACTATCCTGTGTGGTATCCCCTTATGGCCTCCCGTATTGTCTACCGCATGCTCTCCCGTCTGATGTCCCGTATGTGTTGTGCTATGTGCTGGCCAGGGGTAGTTCGCAAGCTGAGTCGGCAGCGTACGAAAAGTTCGTGACGTGCCGACTTCGGAGTTGGTTTCTGACATCGCAGGGATCGCTCAACCTTGAACGATCGGCCGATTCCAAAATGTCCGATCGTTCAAAATCGACCGACTCTGGGTCGCTGGCGGCATTCAACGTTGAACTTGGGCACCCGAGTTATCTGGGGCAACTCGGGTTCGGACTCCCGAAAGGCGAACCCGAGTTAGCCCTGACCCGAGCTACCCCTGATGATTCGGGGCTCTGGACGCCCGAGATATCCGGGGCAACTCGGGCCCACGGTAACTCGGGTTCGGATTCCCGAAAAACGAGCCCGAGTTAGCCCTGACTCCTGACCCGAGCTACCCCTGATGATTTGGGGCTCTGGACACCCGAGAGATCCGGGGCAACTCGGGCCCGGGGCAACTCGGGTTCGGATTCCCGAAAAACGAACCCGAGTTAACCCTGACCCGAGCTGCCCCTGATGATTCGGGGCTCTGGACGCCCGAGTTAACCGGGGCAACTCGGGTTCGGATTCCCGAACAACGAACCCGAGTTAGCCCTGACCCGAGCTACCCCTGATGATTCGGGGCTTTGGACGCCCGAGTAATCCAGGGCAACTCGGGCCCAGGGTAACTCGGGTTCGGATTCCCGAAAAGACGAACCCGAGTGAGCCCTGACCAGAGCTGCCCCTGATGATTCGGGGCTCTGGAAACCCGAATTATCCGGGGCAACTCGGGCCCGGGGTAACTCGGGTTCGGATTCCCCAAAGACGAACCCGAGCTAGCCCTGACCCGAGCTACCCCTGATGGTTTGGGGCTCTGGACGCCCGGGGCCAGGGGCAACTCGGGTTCGGATTCCCGACAAACGAACCCGAGTGAGCCCTGACCCGAGCTACCCCTGATGATTCGGGGCTCTGGACGCCCGAATTAACCGGGACAACTCGGGCCCGGGGCAACTCGGGTTCGGACTCCCGAAAGACGAACCCGAGTGAGCCCTGACCCGAGCTACCCCTGATGATTCGGGGCTCTGGACGCCCGAGTTATCCGGGGCAACTCGGGCCCCGGGGCAACTCGGGTTCGGACTCCCGAAAGACGAACCCGAGTGAGCCCTGACCCGAGCTACCCCTGATGATTCGGGGCTCTGGACGCCCGAAATAACCGGGACAACTCGGGCCCGGGGCACAACTCGGGTTCGGATTCCCGAACGACGAACCCGAGCGAGCCCTGACCCGAGCTACCCCTGATGATTCGGGGCTCTGGACGCCCGAATTATCCGGGGCAACTCGGGCAGAAGGTAACTCGGGTTCGGATTCCCGAAAGTCGAACCCGTGCTAGAGCTACCCCTGATGATTCGGGGCTCTGGACGCCCGAATTATCCGGGGCACCTCGGGACTGGGGTGACTCGGGCTCGGATTCCCGAAAGACGAACCCAAGCTAGCCCTGACCCGAGCTGCCCCTGATGATTCGGAGCTCTGGACGCCCGAGTTATGCGGGGCAACTCGGGCCCGGGGCAACTCGGATTCGGATTCCCGAACAACGAACCCGAGTTAACCCTGACCCGAGCTGCCCCTGATGATTCGGGGCTCTGGACGCCCGAGTTATCCGGGGCAACTCGGGCCCGGGATAACTCGGGTTCGGATTCCCGAAAAACGAACCCGAGTGAGCCCTGACCCAAGCTACCCCTGATGATTCGGGGCTCTGGACGCCCGAATTATCCAGGGTAACTCGGGCCCGCGACAACTCGGGTTCGGATTCCCGAAAGTCGAAATCGTGCTAGCCCTGACCCGAGCTGCCCCTGATGATTCGGGGCTCTGGACGCCCGAGTTATGCGGGGCAACTCGGGCCAGGGGCAACTCGGGTTCGGATTCCCGAAAGACGAACCCGAGTAAGCCCTGACCCGAGCTACCCCTGATGATTCGGGGCTCTGGACGCCCGAATTATCCGGGGCACCTCGGGACTGGGGTGACTCGGGCTCGGATTCCCGAACAACGAACCCGAGTTAGCCCTGACCCGAGTTACCCCTGATGATTCTAGGGAGCCCACAAAAGATGTACGCGCGCAACCACGCACATGAACACGGTCCCCCAGTCTGCGAGACCAGCCGCGTGACACGAACGTTCGCGCATTGTGTACTATCGAAACCAACGTGGATTGATGTGCGTGTACCTCTTTCGCCCCTGAGACTCGGTGCTCTGATGAACGCCAACGGCGGGGTCGCCGCCGGTCGACACGACACGAACCTAGCGCAGTGAAACAGAAGCACGCTGGGTCGATCCCCCCCCCGCCCCTGGAGTGCGAACGCCAGCCATTTTTCTGCAATGGCCCAAGAAAAACACATCCCCAATCCCAAAATCGCAGATTCACCGAGGATTCGAAGATCGGCCAAAGAGTTCGGGGTATGTTGTGCGTTCGTCGTTGTCACCCTGGTAAAACCCTGCCCAAAAACCTCCCTTCCCAAAGTCTCGAAGAGCCTGCATTTCGTCTTGGTCCTCACGTTTTAGGGACTGGTTGTCTGTGTTGAGTTAGTGATGCAAGCAGCCAGGACGGTGCCTCAGTTGGCGGCCGAGCTCGTGGCAAGCAAAGTCTGCATGCATCGCGTGCTCTATCTGAGCCTGGCGGTGCAAACCACACACCTGCGAACTCGCGAGAAACTCGGTTGCTGAGGATCGATTGCCAAAAGTTTGTACATAATCAGGCTTGTCCTGAGCCTCACGGGCTTCTGCTATTTCCACATCGCGCTCATAGCTGTAAGCCCCAGCTGTGCCGTCGCACTGCATCTCGCAAAGGTCCCAGGTGCATATTAAACCAGGCCGGTTGTTCAAGAACTCACGCCGCTACTCTCGTTTGTCCGTCGGGTTAGGATAAGGCATGGTCAGCTCCTCACCTGTCACAACATCCCGCTGACATCGCACGCACATCAGATCGCCAGTGTTACACCAAGAACAGAATGAGTCACAGGTGTGGTTGAGCCTGCTCGGTTCCAGACACAGCCCAGTGATGGCAGCATCTCCAGCCCATGGTTTGCTGGCAATGAACCGATCTTTTCACAACATGGAACAGCCGCAACAGAGCGGGATCACCCTGTCCTGGTACAGCCTCGCCCTCACCGCGTGAAAGCCCGAGCAGGCGCTCACGCCTCTCTGCACCCATCAGCACACACTCTGCCAGACTACGCATCAGCAAATGATCCGCAATGCGCTGTCTTTCCCGTCCTCGCCCAGCCCAGGTGCTCGCCGTAAACGCTTGCCAGACGAGTCACGATTGAAGATGATTTGTCTTCGCATTCCTTCGACCCCATGCCCAACTCACCAACCGAGAGAACTTCTCTGGCGAACACGCCTTTGCCATGGTCTTCCGTCTCCTGGGCGGCCTCGCGTGGGTGAAAATAAGAAGCGCACGGAGATTTTGTGGGACTCGAAGCAACGGAATCGAACCGACCTGTTTGTGCTCCTGTGGACTTAATCACCGCACCAGCTGTCTGCTGGATCGACTCTATAGTCTGCAGTCTAAGCAGGACGCGCACTGCATCCTTGTAGCGGCCAAGCGCCTCCAAAGTACATGCCTGCAAAAGCTTGCAGTCGGCACGCCCATCTGCTCCAGAGCTGGACTCCACGAGCTGTAACGCAGGACGACGACGACGACGACGATGACGACGACGACGGCAACGACGACGGCATTACAGCTTCGAAACCCTGCGATTCAATGCTGCTGCCAGGCACGCAGATCTCTAAATTGCCTGGCTGCGCACAGCACGCTGCAGAACCATCCATTGGAGAAAGCTGAGAATATGGCTCGCGCATGAGCAATTTGTGAACCGTTCGGCGGAAGTCGAGCCGCTCAGGCCAATGTTCGCTCCGACGCGACGTGATGGGTTACGAGGCAGATCGCACTTACCCGAGCCATCTTCCAAGACTGCGCGGGCCATGCCGCAGCTCACGGATGGGTCGAGAGATTGCTCTTCTCGGGCCCAGGCATGGTCGTTTCAACTGCACGCATGAGAGACATCCTGGCGGATCCAATTCAAGTGGTGCGGATCCGAATTTGGTTCGGATTTGTGTTGCGGTAGATCCGATTACGGATGTTGTGGATATGATGTCCAGCCTGTTTTGCTCACCACTACAATGAGAAGGGGGGGTCGAGAGAAGTCGGATCCGCGGCACCCAGGCCCGCCCCTGTTGAGATTCGAAGGGGAAGAGGGGAGAAGAAGCTTGAATACAACCTGTCACAGACAGGTCGCGCGTTGTCTCACGGACCCCATCCACCCTCACCGCAAAGGGGTCGCACCCAACATGAATACATCTCTCCTCAAACCTGGGCTGCTGCTAGCAATTTGTCCAGACGCCGTGCGTTTGGCGGCGCCGACGAAACCTCGCCAACAGCTTACCGGCGCTGACACCTCAAAAGGAAAATCCGCCGACCGTGTCAGCATGTGTGAGCGCTTTCCCGTTTGAGTCGTCGTCGTCGTCCTCGTCGTCGTCGTCGTGGTCACCACTCCCTGTTCATGTCCCTGTCCATGAGCCCGTCTCTTCAGACGTCCCAGCCTACGACCAATCGCATAATGTCTTAATCGAGTCGAAGGGAAGCACGCGAAGAAGCCACCGAACACCTAGCCAAAGAAAAATTGCAGGAAACGTGTGAGGGGTGTGCAGACATGTGCGCGAGGACGCAATGTGGACACCCCCACTGGAGTCACATGCGGAGCTCACTGTGGGGGCAGAAAACGTGTGAGGGCTGTGCCAAAATGATCACGGGGACGCCATGTGGACACCCCCACGAGGCCTGCAAATGAAGCTCCATGGAAGACAGGAAACGTGTGAGGGGTGTGCCGAACTTTGCGCGGGGACGCCATGTGGACATCACCACTGGGGGCATACATACATACATACATACATGCATACATACGTATGTGTATGTACATGCAGGCATGCATGCATGCATGCATATATATATATATACATGTATATATAAACATAGTATACATGTAAATATACATGTGTGCAAATATATGCGGATATGCATGCAAAAAAGAAGTGTGTATAAATGTATGTATGCAAGTATACATACTTGTGAAGATGCATACAAAAATGCATGCACACAAGCATACATCTATACGTAAATGCACACCTACGTATGCATGCACAATACTGGTTTAGTGCAGTGTAGTGCAGGTCCAATCGCGCGCGGAGGCCGCACGCGCCCCACAAGTGGAGTCGGCACAATACAGATACATGTATACAAATACATATACATATAAATATACGTCTGCCCATGCATATACATATTCACATGCATATGCAAGTGCAAACAGCAGATACATATGCAAATACAAATACATATACATGTTCGCATAGAGATGCATGTATACACATGTGCATGTACATATGCATATGCATACCAGCATACATATACATACGCAGATACAGCAACATATACGTATACAACTACCTACCTATACATATATAGAGAGAAATATGGATAACATTAGATACACATGTAGATGTATGTGCAGGCATAGGGAGATCTGCGTAGGTGTGTGGGTACGCATATACCTAAAAAAACATACACATGAGCATAACCATAAACACGCAAATCGACATATACATATACACATACATTTCGCGAACGTAGACACACTCATGTACCGATATAGACAAATGAATGCATACATACATACACACATATACACATAAGTCAACATGTACAACAACAAGTGTCTTTACGGATTCAAGCGATGTGCATGTACACACACAAACATATTAATATGCATAGACATTGAAATAAGCATAACAAATACATAGACCTACGAATTACCATAGACCCATACATGTACGTATGCATGTACCTGTACGGTACGTAAATATGTGCGCCTGTGAATGCATGCACACATATGCACATGCAGTTATCTAGACATTACACATACATGCATGTGCATATGCGTATACACATGCATGCACATATACGTATACGTATATGTGTGTGCATGCGTGCGCACGTGCATATACATAGGCATCTATGTGTGCATATGCAAACATAGAAGCATATCCAGATACATGTACGAAGACCTCGGCATGTACATGTATGCATTCATATGCAGATGTATATAGATGGATGCATGGACCTAGATATGCATACATGTATGCACATACATGAATACATATATACACACATATATACATGTGCGTGTAGACGGAGAGAGAGAGAGAGAGAGAGAGAACAAAAAAAGAGAGAGAGAGAGAGAGAGAGGGAGGGGGAGGGGGGAGAGAAAAGAGAGAGAGAGAGAGAGAGAGAACGAAAGAGGGACCTGGGAGGCAGGAACCGTGCGGGGAATGTGCCAAACTGAGCGTGGGGACGGCATCCCACGGGGAGCGTAGATGGAGCCCCCCGGGGAGGCAGGAACCGCGTGAGGGACGTGACGAACTGTGCAAGGGGACGCCGTGTGGACACCACGCCTGGGGCCACAGGTGAAGCTCCCTGTTGGGGGGGCATGCAACACTCGGGGATGGACAGAACCCCCGGCCCAAACCTGGCGGGCGCAGGCTTCGAAAATGACGGCCGCGGCGCCCTCTCGAGAACCGAAAACGGACAATTCACGAACCGACGCGTCAGAGGGGGGGGGTTGTCCACTCCTGGATAGCATGTGCGGGCAAGGACCGGACTGGAAATCTGCGTGCCAGCTCCAGTAGCCGGAGCGATCCCCTGAGGGGCAGACGTGCACATAGCAAGTAGGAAAAGTGCATCAGGTGATACGCGTGCATGGAGAGCCGCTCACGCATCCAGCGAATCCCGCCATCTAAGACGAGGTCGCCCTACAAATCTTCTGATTTCTGTCCGGAACCACGGCGTCCAGTTCAACGGCCGTTTGCTCCATTTGTTCTCTGTGTCGAAGAAGATGCGGGCTGCGAACACCGACTTTCGAGCACCTTGAACGGACACCCAGCGCGCGGGGACGCAATGTGGACACCCCGTGGACACCCCCACTGGGGCCATAGGTGGAGCTCCCTGTGGGGGGGCGAAACGTGTGGGAGGGTGTGCCGAAGTGGGGTCGGTGACGTCATGTGGATCCCCCCGACTGGGGCCGCAGGTGGAGCTCTCTGTGGGGGGCACGAGAGGTGCGAGGTGTGTGCCGAGATGGGCGCGGGGACGTCATGTGGACACCCTCGCTGGGGCCATAGGCGGAGCTCCCTGTGGGGGCACGGAACGTGTGGTGTGTGTAGGGGGTGGGCAGAGGGAGCGGGGGGAACTTGGCACGGGGACGCCATGTAGAAGACCCCACTGGGGCCGTAGGTGGATCTCCCTGGCAGGCACGCAATGTGTGAGGGGTGTGCCGAGATGAGCGAGGGCAGGACGAGGAGGAGGAGGAGGAGGAGCAAGAGGCGGAGGAGCAAGAGGAGGAGGAGGCGGAGGAGGAGGAGGAGGAGGGGGAAGGGGAGAAGGGGGGGATGGGGAGCGAGAGAGGAGGAGGATGAGGAGAAGGAAAAGGAAAAGGAGAAGGAGCAGGAGAAGGCGAAGGCGAAGGAGGATATGGAACGCGGCGCTGCGGACTGAAGACCAGGACCAAACACACAGGAAGATTGGGAACAGAAGGAACAGAGGAAGACTGTGACACACACGCAGTCATCTGGATCGACGCGGAGGCAAGATGATGAGGCGAAAGAGAGCCAAGCGAGAGGAAGAGAAGAAGCACGTTGGGCCTCGAAGTGATGATAGAGTGCGTCGAGTCCACCCGCGCACGCATCTCGTCGAGATCTACATTCACGGCGTCCATGGCAGCTGTGAAGTCCTGGCGTTGATGCCCGCAAGTAGGAGGCGAAGAAGGGGTCGGAGCATGAGCCAGAGGAGCCGATGACAGAATAATGAGTTCTGCGAGTGCGAAACTTGGTATGGACATTAAAGAGGTGAGGTCGAGAGGTAAGCGAGTGAAGACGGGAAAAAGAAGAGTCAATAACATGACGACGACGACGAGGACGACGAGGAGACTAGTGAGGAGAGGAATGCGGGAGGGGCGGAAGGAGGGAAATGATGAAGAGGGAGGATGCCCGAGATGCTTGAACGCTATAGAGAAAGGGAGGGACGGAGGAGGTGAACATAAGGACGAGCAGGGGCAATAACAACTGAATAAAACGTAGAAACACTAGACGCGGACATCCGCATACGCGCATCTCGTTCACACGCAATGTTCTTTATCGGCGTCCGAGTGGGCCTGAACGTGAGTAAGACGTGCGGGTGAGTCTGAGTATGAGTGAGTGCGCGTGCGTGACTAGGGATGGAGTGGGTCTGAGCGCGAGCGCAGCGCGAGAGAGATTCCCTGCCTGAGGATCTGAGAACGAGTGAAGGCATCCAGGGACTTCCTGGGCCTCCTTCGGCCCCGCTGGGTAGCCCTCGGAATCCTGAGGCGTCCGACGCCTTCCTCGGGCCCTGTCTTGGGCCTCCTGGCGCCTCCTGGAGAATGCTGGGGGCCTCCTGGGCTCCTCAGGGGCCTCCTGGGGTCTCCCTGGGCCTCCTGGGGCCTCCCTCGGCCTCCCGGGGTCTCTCTCGGCCCCCCTGTGGCCTCCGAGAGCCTCCTGGAGATCCTCGAGGCATCCTGGAAGCCTCTGTGGCCTCCTAATGACGAGGAGCCGCCGCCGACGACGTCGTCGCCGCCGCCACCGTCGCTATTCCCTGAGACCCTGTAAGACGAAGCCAGGACAAATGGGGGCTCTCTGAGATCTGGCGGCTCTGGAAGATGTACGGGCGCAGCGGCCTTTTCAAAGCGTGCCGGAAGGCTCTGAGAGCGCTCTGAAACGATCTGGAACAACTTGTCCTCCGTCCAAACAAGTTCACACCGCGTGTTTTCGCCCTGCTTCGGGCCTGGAGGACGAGGAAGGGAGGAGGAGGGACGAGGGACGAGAGAGGACGAGAGAGGGAGCGCACGTCGACGCTCCAAAAGCGGCCATTCTGCCTGCGAGGTCACACCAGACTGGGTGCGAACGTGAAGGTGATAGCACACCGGCCAGCTCCCCCTTGGGAGGTTCGAGCGCGATGCCAGCTACATCGCAGACATCATGGGGCCCTGAAACTGGACAAGTGCACCCCTGGGAGCCAACGTGCCTGTGCTACCACCATCACGATTAGGTCGGGTGTGTTCCCCTACAGGCGGGTTCTGGACGAAGAATTAGAAGTAGTCAAAAAAATAGTTCAAAATTGCCAAAGATGCTGACAAAACCGCCCCAAAACTATTTTTTGACTATCTCTGAATATTCATTCTGTAGAGGGACAAGACCGACTTAACATTACGATCGACTCTCCCTCGGCAGGCCCGAGCTCGGCGTCTGCTGCATCACTCGCGGTGATCACGGGATCACGGGGCTCCAGCAGGAGCCACGCCGACCTCAGAAACGGCAACTCTGCCTGAGAGGTCCTGCTCTTCTGGGCGCGGACGTGCCCGTGATGCCATCCCAGTCGGCTCCCCAACGGGAAGCCCGAGCGCGATGCCCGTTGCGCCGCGGTGATCGTGGCGCTCTAAAAACAGACACGTCTACCTGCTTGTGAGCAGTAAGTCTGAACATGGACGAGTCTCCATGTGAGTGAGCCTGAAAGTGAGTGGGTCTGAGTGTGAGTGGGCGTGAGTGTGAGAGGATCTGAGTGTGAGTGAGTCTGAGTGTGAATGAGTCTGGGTATGAGTCAGTCTGGGTCATGAGTGGATCTGAACATGATTAGCCTGGTAAGTTTGGGTAAGAGGAGGGAGGTGAGGGGAGGAGGTGGAAGCATCACGCTAGTAAGAAAGAACCCAAACAGGATATGAAGATCAACCTTTTTGCGAACCGGGCTTGGTCCTGGAATGCGGGTCATCTGCACCAGCTGGCGCGTTTCCAAATTCAACCTCTTCCTCTCAGCTATGCGCTGACACTGCCGGAGGTTTGACAAAGCCAAGTGGTCTGGTGCGTCCAATCTGCGAGAAAGCACGGGCCCGGCGACGAATCAGTACTGGCCCACCCCCCACATCATTACCAGCAGCCCAGATGATGGGGCGGAGGAAAAGGGACGGAGGAGGATAGAAAGCAGGCCCGGACCTTCGCCGTCACAATCGTTTCGTGGCGTGGGCCTCCAAACTCCCGACCCCCTCCCCGGGACCAGTTCTTCATCCGGGGCAGTTCTTTGACGGCCCCAGGGCCCGAACGGGCCCCCAGAGACCCAGAAGGACGGAAACACAGCCGACTTGCGTTCTTCTCGTGACACGCAATATCTGGGCAAGGCTGGGGTGAGTGCCAAGCCTCCATGTCGCGCTCGCAAGCAAGCACGATGCGCTTGACCTGAGCGGTGTCGTTCTTGTTACCATTGACGATGTCCTCTGGGGCTGGCGTCGGCGCCACAGGGAGGAGCACAGCAAGCAAGCAAGCAAGAAGTCATACCCCCGGAGGTGCGTAGGAGACGAATGTGGAAAAACAAAAAAAAAAAAACAAAAAAACTTGAAACGTAGCATCAGCTTTACGCGAATCATTCTGCACTACAGCTGAAACTGTGCCGTGCAAGCAGACTTGATGCTGGACCGATGGAGCTTGGACCCAAGAGTGCAACAAAATCCCTCGAAGGTACTCCATCCTAGTAGGGCTCAAATATGTGTTCCTGGCATGGCCCCACAGGCCCCACCAGGGCTCGAAAGAAGCCCGCGAGGCTGCACAGGTTTCCGAAAGGCAAGGGCTCGAAGAGATAAAAAAAACTCGGAAGCCTTTCAGGGGGCACAAAGCCGGCGACTTGAAGAGCATGCTTGGGCTGATCCCGCTGTCCTTATGACGAAGACTCGCCTCGGAACTATTTCTGGATGGGTTGGTGGCGATACTGTTTGGTCAGCGGGCTCGCGAAACAAGTCGAAAGCCGTCCGATCACTAGCTGGGCCGCGACTAGGCAGCAAGAAAGAGAGGGACAAGCGAAGCGAGCGCGCGGGCAGCCACTCAGAACTGCACCAGGAGCGGCACTCCCAACCCGGTGGCGTGGAAATCCCGGTGGCGACCATCGAGTAGGCGCAACCAAAATGACGCTGATGGCGATTTTTTGTCGCAGCTGCAAGCGAGCGCGCCAGCAGCGTCAACGGTCGGGCGGGCTACGCGCGAACCTACTTGCCTAACGCGCCGGCAAACCGGTGGCCAACGCAGCACCTGAGCGGACCGGATGCGAGAGGTGGCGCGGGCTGCAGCTGCCAGGAACCAGGTCCAGGAGCGAGCGCATGCATAAGTAGCCAACCAGGGTTGGAGCGCAGCCAAAATTGCGCGGGAGCAATACCAGGATGAAGCCAGGAGCACCATCACGAAGGAACGCTGACACCAGCTAGGCCAAGAAGAACTCACTGGCCAGGAGACTAGCGCGTGGAAGTGGCGCCACCGAAGTCGCACACAACGAGACTCCTGAAGGGGGTACTGATCCGGACGCTTGTCGTCAAGCCGTGGACAGAGTGAACACGAACGGCAGAGCGGAGTACCAAGGAAACGATGGATGTGATCAACACCGTAACTGAACCTGAGACAACGGATCAAAGGAAATCACGCGCACCCCCGAACCAGGTCGACGACATCTGAGAAGAACTGACCAGGAACTGGACAAGTGCACGCCGCAAGCACGCGGTCGAGTAAACACGGAAAGCGCCGTGGACACGCCGCCAGGAACCGCGGGCGCAGTCAACGCAGTCGGCCGACGGTCAGGGGGGCACAGGCTGGACCACGTGCACTCGGGGGCCCCATGCGCCAACGAGGAAGTTGGGCGCGTGGAACAGGGGGGGGCAGGAAGCCAGGGCCAACAAGGCCGCTGCGGGCCCGGCTGCCCGAGGAAGGCGCGAGCCGGAGACGTCACGCAGAGGGGCCAGCGCCAAGGAAACCGAGCCAGGCCGTGGCCAGGTCCGGGCAGTAGCCAGGGTGAAAACAACTACAGCCAACGGCCGAGGCCGCGAGACACGTCGCCCCCGCCCCAGCGGGGGCCCGCGCACCTGGCACGGACGGCGCCAGGGGGCCCGGCCCCCAAGGGCGGGGAGGCCGAGCCAGGCGCCGTGCTAGGGCCGTCACCAGACGACACTGGACCAGCCGCGGGGGGCTGCACCTCGCCGCGGCCAGGGGCGGTGAACCCGGAGCGAGCGCTGCTACAGCAGACGGGCAGGCCGCGCATCGGCATGGGCATCGCGCCAAGTATTGACGGCGCCAGGGGCCTGTTCCAGGAGGGCGGCGGGCTGGCCTAGCGCTGCGCGGTGACCGGGCCCGGACGCGAGGGGCCGGTGAGATGGGGGCGCGCGCGGGCGACTGCGGCAAACGGCTGCGCGACCCCAAACGCGAGAACATATCTTCAAGCAAGTGGGGGAATCCTCCAGCGGCGGGCGTGACTGCGCAGGGAGCACTGCCAGGGAAGCGACTGGCGGTCACACTGTCTGCGAAAGGAACGGGACTGAAGTGACGAACTGAAGTATACCAAACGATCGATCGAAGCCCCTGACGCACGGGCGCCCGTCTGCCGGCCCCAAGGGGGGGCGGGGGCGACGAGCTGCCTGCGGCAGACGACCGCGCGTTCACCCTCGAGCACTCCCTGAAGACCGCTGCAGCATACGGCCGCACTTCCGATACACACCCCCGCGGCTCTAACCTGTGAGGCACGCGCCCGGGCGCGGGCGCGCCATCTGTAGCGCGCCCACCCGCCGCCACGGCCCCACCTCCAAGAAGGGGCGAGCTCTCGAGCGCCCATCTGGCCACCACCGCACCGCTGCTCCAAGGGCGCCGGCAGGGACGAGGAGCCGCAGGGACGTCCGCTTGCCGGCCTCCAGGAGGGGGGGGGGAGCGACCAGCTGAAGCAGACGGCGTGCTCGCTCTCGATCTCCCCCCGAAGACTGTTGCAGCTCACGGCCGCACATGCCAATGCACACTCCTGAGACTCTACATTGCGCGGAAAGCCTCCGAGCGCGGGCGCGCCCTCAGCACCACCCCCAACTGTCGCCGTGGCCCTGTGTCCAGGAGGGGGCGCGCTGTCGAGCGCCTCTCCAGCCTCCGCCGCACTGCTGCTGTTCACTCTCGGGCGCTCCCTGGAGACCGTTGCAGCTAACGGCCACGCTTCCCGACACACACCCCTGAAGCGCGTTTTTGCGGGAAACGTATCCAAGCGCGGGCGCGCCCTCTGCAGCGATCCAATCGCCAGAATATCGCTTCGAAGAAGGACTGCGCTGCCGAGCGCCTCTCCGGCCACCACCGCGCCGCTGCCCCGGGGGCGCCGATAGGAGCGACAGGCCGAATGGGCGCCCACCTGCCGGCCCCCTGGAGGGGGAGGGGGCGACAAGCTGCCGCGGGCGACCACGCGTTCGCCCCCAAGCTCCCCCTGGGGATCGCCGCAGCAAACGGCCGCGCGGCAGACGACCACGCGCACGCTCTCGAGCTTTCCCGTAAGGCAATGCAGCTTGTGGCCGCGCTTCCCGGAACAGACCCCTGAGTCTCTATTGGGCGAGGGGCGTCTCCGAGCGCGGGCGCGCCCTCTGCAGCGACGCCAGGGCGCTGTCTCCAGGAAGGGGCGCGCTGTCGAGCGCCTCTCCCGCCTCCACCGCACTGCTGCCCCAGGGGCGCTGATAGGAGCGAGGGGCCGCACGAGCGCCCGCTTGCCGGTCTCCAGGAGGGGGGGGCGACAATCTGCGGCAGACGACCGCGCGTTCCTCTCCCTGAGGACAGCTGCAGCCGACGGCCGCACTTCACTCCTGAAACTCAATATTGCGAGGAGCGCCTCCAAGCGCGGGCGCGCCCTCTGCAGCGCACCCGACCGTCGCCGGGGCCCTGCGTCCACGGGGGGCGGCGCCGTCGAGCGCGTTTCCGGCCCCCGCCGCACAGCTGCCCCCGGAACGCTGATAGGAGCATGGGGCCGAAGGGGTGTCCGACTGTTCTGTCGCACTGCCAGACCTGTCCGCTGACCGTCGCAGGCGAGCTGCACTTTCGGAAACAAAATCCCGACTGCCACAATTGCCCGAGGAACGTCTCCGAGCGCGGGCGCGCCCTCTGCAGCGCCCTGGGCACCCCCAACCATCGCCGCGATACCGTGTCCAGGAGGGGGCGCGCGTTCGAGCGCGTTCCGGCCTCCTCCGCGAACCTGCCCCAGGGGCGCCGATAGGAGCGAGGAGCACGCGGCAAACGACCGCCAGAACAGTCTCGAGCTCCCCCAAAATACCTCTGCAGCTGAAGGCCGCACTTTCGGACGCAAATTCCTGAATGTCTGAATAGAGGGGGGGCGTCTCCGAGCGCGGGCGCGCCCTCTGCAGCACCCCTGGCCATCGCCACGAAGCTGTCTCCAGGAGGGGCGGCGTCGGCGGGTTCCTCCGCGAGCCTGCCCCAGGGGCGCTGACGGAGCGGCCGGCGGGGATGCGTTTCGTCGCCCAAAGGACTGTTGCAGCTGAAGGCTGCACTTTCGGAAACAAAAGCCTGACTGTCACAATTCTGAGGAGCGTCTCCGAGCGCGGGCGCGCCCTCTGCAGCGCCCCGGGCACCCCCAACCATCGCGGCGAAACTGTCTCCAGGAAGGGGCGCGCTCACGAGCGCATTTCAGGCCTCCTCCGCGAACCTGCCCCAGGGACGCAGATTGGAGCGAGGAGCACTGCGGGGGCCCGCCTGCCAGTCTCCAGGAGCGGGAGGGGCCGACGCACAACGGCAAACGACCACCTGATCGGCCTCGAGCTCCCCCAAAGGACTTTCGCAGCTACACCCCGCACTTTCGGATATAAATTCCTGAGTGTCTGAATTGGGGGGAACGTCTCCGAGCGCGGGCGCGCCCTCTGCAGCACCCCCAGCTATCGCCGCGACACTGTCTCCAGGAGGGAGCGCGCTTTCGACTGCATTTCTCGGCATGTTAACTGGCACGACACTGTTTCCTAGAAGTCCCGGCGCGGGCGCCGGCGGCGCTGGCGGCGCAGTCGGCGCCCGCGGCGCCCGCGACGCACGCTGCGCCCGCGGCGCCCACGGCGCCCGCGGCGCCCGCGGCGCCCGCGGCGGCGGCGGCGCCCGCGGCACCCGCAACGCCCGCGGCGCCCACGGCGCCCACGGCGCCCGCGGCGCGGGCGGCGCCAACAGCGCCCGCGGCCCCGCGGGGCGCTGGAGGCGCCCGCGGCGCACGCTGCGCCCGCGCGCCCGCGGCGCCCGCGGCGCCCGCAACGCCCGCGGCGCCCGCGGCGCCCACGGCGCCCGCGGCGCGGGCGGCGCCAACAGCGCCCGCGGCCCCGCGGGGCGCTGGAGGCGCCCGCGCGCCCCGCGCCCGCGGCGCCCCGCGGCGCCGCGGCGCCCGCAGCGCCCGCGGCGCTGGCGGCGAAGGCGGCGCAGGCGGCGCCAGCAGCGCACGCAGCGCCCGC